CTGGTACGACTCAGGCTTAGTATCATCATAAAAGTCTTGGAGGTCATGTCAAACCCACGACACTAGGTATGCCTGCATGTGGGCATGCGCGCATGCGTGTGCAAAGTATACCGAAGGGGTACTTACATGAATACAGACCAAAAATCCGGAAAAGTAGCCATAGGGAGTTAACTACATTGCATCGATGAGACGGGTTTGTCAGAGTAGATAACTTAGATAGACTAGACAGCTTAGCTAGAATTGGTAAACTCGAAAGGATAGATAGATGAGATAGATTAGACCAGAGCAGATAGAGTAGGTAGATTGGAAGTTTAGGCAGATCGATTGATCGAGCGCTACATGGTTAAAGAGATAGATCGATCCAAGGGGTAGTTTTAGTCGTATCTTTAAGCCTGAAGTCGCATCACCCTGCGTTTGCATGGAGTTAAACATATCCCAGCAGTATCGAGTTGACGAGGCAATATTCGCAAGTAGGCATGAAGCTTTTGCATCGTGGTTGCTTGGGATGGGTTTCAGCGTTCTGTTCCTGACATCGGTTAACTAGTTTTACCTTCTCGAGATTAACTGACCTCGTAGCATCTGACAAAGCGAAATGGGTTTGCATCTTGTTGGGTATCTACTCTGCCTGCCTGTCTGTCTGTCTGTCTGTCTGTCTGTATGTACGTACGTAGGTATATGTGGATAGAAAACTTCAAAAATTCGAAATCCAGAGAAGCCCTGCCAAGAACCACTGTCGGGACTGCGGCGCTCGATCGTCGGGGCCTTGGTGTGCTGATCCCATCACCTTTCAGAGCCCCCTTCGTCCACATCTTGTCCTTCGTCATGACTCTGTGCTCCTTTCATCATCGGACGACACTATCATAATTTTCATGTTTATTCCCCCAGCCGTCTCACCCCATTCTGAAAATTCCCAGCGGTCTTTCAGGCGAGCCTAAGGCTTACAGCTTGAGCTCGAGTCTTTGCTGGGTTCTTCAGAAAAGCCACAAACATGGTGGCCTGTGCTGCAGCACCGAGCATGTAGGCACAACCACTTGGAGCAGGACGGGGAGGGATGCTTGCAGCAGATGGTTACTCGGATTCTCAAGCTTTGCTGCTACTCACTGTATTGTTTTATGCTTGGAGGTCCTGGCATTTCAGAGATTCCCCGAGCCTGGTCTCGCTTATAACCGCAAGCCGAAGCAGCCGTAGATTTTGACCGCGGGCCTGAGGCACTGGCGGTGTTGTGGATGCCCCGCCTGGACCCAAGTTATCGGTTGGCACTTGGCATACCCCGCAACAAGACAGGCCAAACATGCCGAACACTTTCCAAAAACGCCACTTCCCAGCATGTCAGGGTGATAGGATTTGTATGTGGAGGATGTAGGACTGGTATACAAAGTTTACTTCCCAAGCTGCTGGTGTCGCTGCAACACCACACCATCGGCAAGGAGATTGAGACCGTGCACCTTGCATGTTTTGCTCTCCTCAGGAAGCTGAGGCCCGAAACAAGTTGAAGATAGTGGAAGTGTTGATGGCCCTATAAATCATAAGAGCTTCCTGGCCTGCGAGGAATGCCTTATGAAGGCGCCTGGACATGTGAGTCAGATAACCTGAATTCTGGAAGGCCAAAACCCAATGTAACTGCCTGCCGGTGCAAGGATCAAAACTCCGAATTCTGCCGTCCTGGCACGACGTCCGAGCAAGCCAAGCTCAACTTCGACGCTGAGCCACGAACTGTTTCTAAATGGTGTGCATTCTACATATACTTTGTACACATGCATCAATCTGTGTGCGTCTCTCTCTCTCTCTCTCTCTGTATATATATATATGTATGTATATCTGTGCTTTACACATTACATGTTTAACTTGCTTTTTTTGCGCATGTATTGTTGAGCTGTTCTCACACATATTCCTCTTCTCACTTATGTATGTTTATATGTAGATCCATTTGCATGTGTCTACATATGGGAAGTGAGCGCGATGGGTAGCAACAGAAGCAGGAGCCAACAGTCGTCGTCCTCGTGGTAGTCGTGGTGTCGCTCCTGCTGAGCTTCAATCTTGGCATGCACTACAGATTGTGTTCTTATTTCCAAAACTTGCATTGCCATATACTGACTCTGAAGCAGTACAAGCGTTGCTGCCGACCCAAGCTTTGCCAAAGAAGCTCGCACCTCCAGCTTCCTTTGAACTGGGCCCAAGAAGATGTCCACTGAGGAGTCTTGTTACGCAGCCTACGATGCTGATTTGCCACCTCCGAAGTGCCTGGCAAACAATCCTGCAGGTTCCGATAAGCTTCGGGGCCCAGTTGCTTGAATATGTATGATTTATCAGGGGTTTACCCAAGGCTTGGAGGTGTGTTAGTGGAGTTGATGAGCACAATGTCCCCATACCCGTCCCAAAGAAGAGATGCTGCTAGGGCTAGATCCGCCGGGTCCCCACACGACAATCACATAAACAAAGCACACCCACATGCACATAGATGTATATACAACAAATAGTTTAGAAAGAGAGACACAGAGATAGAGAGCAAGTCCGATATACTCAAACTCCTCCAGCCCCAAGCCATAATCTCCAAATTTCTACCCACCCAGGCATGCAAGCTCCCAACGGTTGCAAGAAAGGGTGATATTTTAACCATGACGTTGTGTTTTCAAGGTGTTTCGTTGTGTTTCAGACTCGAAAGAGTATAGCCAGTTATTTGTTCATCGTCACTGCGCTCAGCTTGGCCATCGTTATTCTTAAGAGAGAGATGGAGCTACAAGTTAGAGTCTCGTTGTCCGAAAACTGTGGGTGAAGTTCTGCCTGCCTACTGCTACATGCCACAAGGTACGTCGATGCAGAAATCAGTGAGCGCAGCAAAGCCTAAACTCCTGCAACCTCAAGCCCTCAAACCCCCGAGCCATAGACCCCAAGGCCACGAAAAGCGTGAATTAAATATCGTCCAACCATGAGGCCTGGCTCCTTGTGTTCCAAGCTGTTTTCGCATTAATTATCTTATCGAAGCATGTTTTGACAGTGTCATGTCTCTTTTCCGGACACTTTCCAAAGGTCTTGACAGCTTCGCATATCATGTTCAATTTATCCCAGACGGCCCAAACCCCCCTACTAGTGTTCAATGCGTCGGCCATGCGTGTTTTCAATAACAAATTTGAGGCAATTGGCACGCGGGAACTCATCTCGTTGATGTCGTTGAGGTGCGAATTGCTTCATATCCTAAACCCGAACCTAAAAACCCGAAACCCCTGGATCATGTGCCCATATTCTTTACATTTAGCCATGACCTTAGCTCCAGCAGTTGAGGAGTTTCGCTTGAAGTTTCAAGCTTTCGCCGAGTAGTCGAGCGGAGGAAGCTTTCAATGCGGCTTCTTGCTCGCTTAGCACAAGAATTCGTCGAGGGTTTCTGCCAGGCAGACTTGTGGACGGCTGAGGAAGCCTCAAGGCCCAGAATGTGTTTAGGGTTTAGGGTTTATAGGGCTTATAGGGTTTAGGAGTGTGTCCTCCTGTGCTGTCCCGGCGACTATCCATGTACAGGCAGACGCGCCGATAGTCTTTCCTTGTAGGGCCCGAGATGCGCGAAAGCAAAAGCACGCATTTATGATCCTCGATTTGCTGACTTGTGTCGCTGGTGTGAGGGAGTTGGAACTTCCCCATTGCTCAGGCCCATGGTCTCTAGGTGTGGTGCTTTTTACTGCTTCTTGCATGTGCGGAACTGCACGTCTTCGTCCTGCCTGCGCAGCATTTGCGCCCATTGGCTACTATAACTACTACTAGACTGGTGACAAAACTATACTCTTACAGCGCAAGAAGGCTTCCGTCCGTGCTCGGACTCCCCCCCCATCCCAGGCTCTCAGTCTCCAGATAAGGTGGCTTCGATTGTCTGAAAGTCCAGCTCTTCCATGCGCAGCTTGATTCACTCCACTCGAGGCGAAAAGTGCAGTGAGTGGCAGAGGGCGCTTTCTCTGCTATCTGCGCCAGGGAGCTCAGATCATCGGGGGACGGGAAGGAGGGCCTCTGAAGTGCGATAATTGCAGTTTTTGGCATGTGTTTGAATCTTGTGTCTCTATGCCCTCAACCCCATCCAACAACCTGAAACCTGCAGCTGGCAGAGTTCTCTTTGGGAAGTTCAGCAGTGATTGCTTTTGAGCGCTGCGTCTCCCAGATCTGGACTTTGTAGAGTTGGGAGTTCGCGGTTCGAGCTTGAGGCTTCATGCAGGGCGCCGTGGGGTCGGGACGGGTGGGCTCAACAAGCAGCCTTAAGACTCATATATATATATATATATTTTTTGATAGATCATGATAATAATGTCATATAAGAGAACTGTACCATCATAACTGCATGTCATAACAGCATAATTTTGCCTCGTTGTAGTAAATCGGGCCCCGCTCTGGAACATGGGTGAATTCTGACACCGGATATTATACGCGTAAGATTTGCGCAGGGCTTGAATGGTTGCCGGGTTGAAGGATTCCAAAACCTTTGTGCTTCTGAGATGTTGGCAGATATAGTTCGAAGCCCAAAGTCGCGAGCCCGAACGCCGTCAGCTGGAATGCAAGACTTAACAACACCGCACCACTTTGAAAAACGCTCCTGACTTGGATCCGATGAGGATACACCTCTTATCAAGACCTGTGCAGAGGCTACCCGCCCGGGCTCTAGCCCCGGACGCTGTCAGCTTCGGCGCAACGTCAGCCGCATCCGCACGCGCCGCCAAGTGGGAGGCAATGAATTCAGTGGACTCCCCAAGCAGACAGACGTTGGGCTGTGAGTCCTACACACAGACCCAACAAAGCAGCTTCAAGCATGTAAGCCGTAGCTTAGCGGCCTAGCTTAGACATAAGTCGTATGCCACGGAGCCCATAGAGTGCCATAGAGACTTATTCAGCGTGTCAGTTTTTCCGCTCAGCGCCTGCTCCTATGAGTCTATTTGTCAACTCAACTTAAGACCACAGGTCAACCTTGCCAAGACGGAGGTTTTGGGGTTGAATGGTTTTGGCTTCATTGGCGTTTAAGACCACAGGGCATGAGTTTAGATCTTGAGATCCTTGAGATCTCCATCGGCCTCTTCCACTGCGCAGTGCAAATGAACCTGGCGAGTGACGCCCAGATGTCGCTTTCGCCGCACAGGAGTTCGACGGGCTGTTACAGTAATTAGGGTATTGCGGGGGCTGGGGCCCATCGAGTGCATCCTTACATGTTTGGTTTTGCTTCAGCAGTGGCAGCAGCACAGCCTGTGTAGGAGAGCATAGAAGTAGTCTTGAAGGTGGTAGATATAGTCACGGACCCGGATTACAGGCTGGGTTTCCATAAATCTCATCTCAGAGCTTTTTGTTTTTGAGTTAGGGCCGTGCACTGGGAATTGACCGAGGCAGTCGACTGCCATCCAAGCTTGCGGCCAACGGTCAGCATTTAGCCCTAACTCCCTCACTCGGAGAGCTGCAACTTGATTTCGCCTCTAGGGTTTACGGTTTAGAGTTTAGGGGTGATTCACAGTTCAGCTTCGAAGTTGTTCAAGTTCACCGTTCCAGGTGTTGAGTTTAGAGAGAATCACCAGTAGGGCTCATGCAATGACTCATGATAGCCACTGATGTCAAGACCTGCCGTGGCGCAGCACAGTCTTGCTGCTGCGATTGGGAGGCTGTTTGCGGTGAGACAGGTGGAAGGATACTGTCAAAGCCCAGGCACGCTTTGAAGCCACCAGAACCAAACAACGGAGGAACGGAGATCTCTTGAGAGCGCTGCACAGCGCGTTTCCGCTAGGCGCTCTTGTAAAAGAATTACGCCTGAATCGCCAAGGACGGGCTCAGCAGTGGCAACGAGCGCTGGAGATTTTCGCCGATGGAACAGGGGGTGTCTCGCCGCAACCAAGTGAAGGGCTTGGGAGTTATTAGCCTTGCGCATCTCGCCACGAGTGCGATGGGGTACCAGTGGCCAGGATAATAATTAGGGAGTCTGAGTTGCAGGGTACAGTACACGGGTTCTGGCTCCGACTCTTAGGATCTTTGGTCGGGTGCTTGTGGCGTTCTGCACCACTTTAGACACTATCCTTCAGAGGTGTGGGGGGGTGATTTGGCTGTCGTCGTGTAAGATTTTAAGAAGCGCGCAGTTTCGGACAGTTCGGGGTTTTGGAGCCAGATGCTTCAAAGCTTTTCCGTGGTGTTTTTCCTTGCCAGATAAGCCGTGAGACTTCATGGATTTATGGGTCAGCGGGCTCGGATAGCAGCGGCCACGAATTCGGAGCTGGACTGTTGTTGCAGAATCCACCTCCGAAGCATTGAAATCCAGAAGCTCGGAACTGAAGCTCCGAAACCTGTCACTCTACCGACGCGAAGAAAGCCTGAACCTGAGCAGCCTGATGCAAAATCCCCAGTTCACGGGGCCTAAGACTATAAGCCGAAGTTCAGGCCGCGTGGCCTTCAACGCGATTTTAGACGCCGCGGAGACTCTGGACCTCGGGAATTGCCTCTTCTTTATCCAATTGCCGGTAGCTTAAAGTGACGACTCCCGCTACTACTGCTGCTAGCACTGCGATTACGACAACGACGACGTGCACATTGTCTGCCACTGCCAGTGTCACCACCGCTACCAGTTTCACTACCACTACCTACTACTCACTACTAACTAGCAACTACGAACTGCGACTTACGAACTACCGGCTACTTGCTACCTGCTACTCGGGCATACTATTTCTTAATTTATTACTCACTCATCACTACACACTATGCACTAGTTCCTACTGAATTGTTTGTTTGCTACTTGCTTCTCTTGCCACTACGACCACTACACTGCTGCTACTGCTACTGCAACTGCAACTGCTCCTGCTCCTCCTGCTGCTGCTGCTGCTGTTCCTGCTGTTGCTGCTGCTACTGCTGCTGCTACTACTACTCGTAGTACTACTACAACGACGGCTGCGGCGAAAACAGCTAGTATCGCAACGCCACGACAGCCACCGTCACGACCAGCGCCATCGATACTTCTTGCAGAAGACTAATGACACCTCATCCATCGAGTAGGAGGGCAGGACCATGACTAGCAGTCACATCAAGAGCAGCAACAACAACGACGACGACGACAGCAACCACAACTACCACAACGATAACAACAACGACAACAACCACAACCGCAGCTAACGGCAACAACAACTACAGCGATGGTGACGACAACGACCGCGACAGCGACAACGACAACGACAGCAACGAACAGCACCACGAGCAGCAGCTGCAGCAACCACAACTGCATAGCATAACAACTAGACTCTTAACGAGAATTATTCATGACGGCCATGTTTGAGGAATGCCTTATTGCCAGCTCAATAAGCTGGGTTGGGGTTTAAAGGATTGTTCTGAAGATCCGATTTACTGAATTTACTGGCTTTTAGGCGGACGTTCATGGGGCTCAGGAGCATTCAAGCATGACAGCAACTCCAAGCCTCTTCCCAAATTCTCTACAAGTACGGTACATCCAATCCGAAGCCTCAAGCCAAGCTCACCCGTGAAGGAGCTTAGCCGATCTCTGTTTGAGTTGGCGCTCCGGCGTGGCGTCTACCCAGGCCAGCCATTAGTTTGTTCCGGGTGTCGGGTGTTAAGAGAATGCCCGATGGAGCCGAGAACAGCATATCCAACCAGATTAAAGTATCCGCATTCTCAGGATGTTTCCGTCGAGGCAATGCGTGCCCAATCATCAGCAGAGCAGATAGGGATGCGCGTGGCTGCTCCTGTAGTGCATGGCTTGCCTAGCCGTGTGCCTGCGGCACGTGGATGCGACAAGCTTGCCCAAAGCAGACGCAGACATGACCTGGCTGTTGTCCCTCAACATGTGCCAGAGCATCGGCATGGCTTGTATGATGTGTCGGTCATACAGGCACTCCGGCGGAAGGCCACCCGACAAGCTGGAGGCACAATCGAGCCAGGCACGGTGGTAATGGATGACAGCCGTGAGCAGCTCGATGCGCCAGGCTCACACAAAGCACAGGATGACGATGTGCTAGATCCCGCGTCCCACGTGGGTTTCGATGAGGCCAGAACGGCCACTCTGAACACAGGGGAATCTGCAGCCGAAGAACGGCCGCTGGAGCCACGACATGAGAACGATCGTTATTTTCTGATGGCGGACAGTCCGGCCAGCGTGGGATGTTTTCAGGAGCTACGCAAAAAGCTGAGCCCTGCTCAGATCCCGAGTGGTCACGCAGAGCGAAAGGAGGCTGTGCAGGATGATGGATGTTCAGTGGCCTACTCACAAACAGAGGCACAGACAGAGCCCAAAGGCTTTGCATCAGACTCCGATGCGGTTGCATTTCCGCTGTCCCAAGCTTCTGCTGCGGTCCAAGAGCTTCCTCCTTTACCTGCGTATCGTCCGCTGCCACGCCTGGAAGCGACCGAGACAGGCATACCCGCAAAAACACGGACATTTGCCCAGGAATTGGAGGAACGGTTCTACGGGAGCCTGCAGGTCTTGGACAGCGTGCAAGAGCACCTCTCTGTTGTTGACCTCTTGGCCTCGCAACGAGCGCTTCAGGAAGAGCAGAGATCCGCGCTGGTGACTTGGCTCCATAGCTTGCTTTGCCGGATTCTTTTCCAATGTGCCAGTTCCAGCTGAGGAAAAAGCTCTTGAAGAGGACTGTCGTATCTTGCCACATTTGCAATTCTGCTCGCATCCAACACTGCGATTAATAGACCCCGATCGGCATGATCCCATGGATTCCCATGGCATGTGCCGGTACGACTGGCCATTTCTGTGCGAGAGGAGCGGCAAGCGCTCCTTGAGGCGCAGGCTTCGCAGGAACAGCATCTGCAACAGGCGAGAGGAGCGGCTCTGGCTCTGGCAGTGACACTTTACCAGTGTTTTCGGGTCTGGGTACATCTGGATACGGTCGGGGTGCCGATTCAGCCCCGAGAAGTCGCTGCAGGGATTGCAGATGATTGCAGAATGCAGTATGTGGCAATTTTCGACACGACAGGGTTGAAGCACGCCGCACTCTCTAACAGGGAGGTTTCTGGTTTGAGCTTGAATCGCCCAGCGTGGCACAGTGCTGGGTCTCTGAGCTGTTCGTGACAGGCCCTTGACTGGCTAGAAAAGCAGCGGACCCGGCAATTGGCTGCGCTCTTGCAGCAGGCGCAGTGCCTCGAAAGCAAGTGAGCTGGATGCCCTGCGGCGACAGGAGCACAAGCAAACTTCGCAAGAGTAGGGACCGGAACACACAGAAGAAATTAACGCACATGAAAGACTCTGAAGCGGGCGGGTATGTGCGAGACGCTCAAGCATTTGAGGTCTTCCGAGCTCGAGCTCGCTCGAAGAAAAGCGGCCTTCGATGAGGAATTGGCAGCCAAGGAAAAGCTGCGCCAGGCCGTGATGATCCGCGATGCACGCTTTGCTTCCTTTCGTTCAATCAGTTCTGATTTAGCATGATTTAGCCACATGCAAAGCAACCTTGCAGGAGGCGGAGGCCTTTGAGAGGGAGACATTGCAGCGGGAGAGAGAGGAGCTGGAAAAGCAGAAGGCTCTTCTCTTTGCACTGAGCCTTCAGCGGAATTACGAGGACCAAGCGGCGAAGTTGAACAGTTCTGTGTGAACAACAGGCTCACCAACCCAACTTAGGCAGCATCATGGAGCCAGCACTCCAGAGCATAGCATGTTGTTCCAGTGCGGAAGGACCAAGAGGAGATGGTTCGCCAATGGACACTTCTGGAGAAAGAAAGGAATGAAGCAAACCAGGAAAGGCATGTGAACGACCTGCAGCGTGAAGCTATTCAGCGGGAAAGGGAGCGATTGCTAGAAGAGGGTGCCAGATTGCAGGAGAGCAGGCTGGCCCGGCAGGGTGCCATGCAAGAAGCAGACCTGCAGCGACAGCATGGTGAGATCCAACAGAGCTTGCTTAAAGCTAAGCGGCTGGAGGATGAACAGCGCCTGATGTTCGACTCTGCTCGGGAGTTTGCTCGCAAAGAAGCGGAGCAGGTTCACAAAGCAGCTGATTCGCAACGGCATACTGATGCCCTGGAGCACCAGAAACAATTGTCGGCTGTTCTGCAGGTTGAATTGGATCACAGAGAACAGGCCCGCGCAGCCACGGCAACCTGACTTACCCCAAAAACCCCGGCATGCGATGAATTGAATCAGTTATTTTGACACAGAGTCCCCGATGGATTATCATCCGGCTTATCATCGACCCCAAACTTCACCCTCCCACTCTGCCCAGCCCAAACACACTCCCAGTCTACCTGTTTCGGAGAGCGGAACCAGAAATTTTGCCCTAGACCCCTCGCATGAATCGACGTCTAAGCCGACAAGAGATCCTAGGTCGTTCCTTTCTGCTTGAGGCCTTTTGAAGGACGGTTATGGAACCTTGGACCTCCATGAACTCTCAGCCGGGGCGGCCTCCGCTGCTGTGCCTCTTGGCCTCGCGGAAATGGGGTTTAGGGCCCTTTAGGGCCGTTTAGGGCTTTGGGGATCTTTGGGGATCTTTGTGGGCATTTTGTGAGGTTCCGGGATTCAGGTTTTATGGGTTGGCTTCCTCCGCCTCTGTGTCACGGGCGCCTATTGACTTGATCAAAAGCACCTGTGGCTACGGGTAAGGCCCAAAAAGAAGGCCATTCTTTTCTATTCTAAGCTCTCGAAGGTTTCGGCTCGAGATGGCTTAGTAGATTAGTGTTATGTGGGTGATGTCTGTATCGAGAGCCCGAAGCTCAGGCAATGGTGGTTGGAGCACGTTGCTCCCACTATCTGTGCAACTCGTGATGTCAGCCGGCTGGCTCCCAGACTGCACGGCCCACGGCCAGAGAGCACAGCTCTGAGTGGAGGTTGAAATCGCTGCCGAAGCTGGCAGGGGTTATTCCTTACAGTTGTCTCGAGGAGGTTGAGTATAACCAACTAGTTGCGGCCTAAGTCGGCTTCACGTTTCCCGATGTCGTTGTAGGGTGCGCGAACGATGTCCACAAGGGTGCTTCGCCAAAATAGCAGCTAAAGATCAACCCGGAGGATCGACAGCCCCGAATAACTGAGCTCTAGACCGCGAATCCTTAGCCCTAAAGCCCTGAACCTTCAGCTGAGCTCATCTCGAAGCCTAGATGCCGGGTTGCGGTTAGGGAACCTCGGGGAACTCTGAACCCAGGAGATCGTTACGGGAGTCGGCAAGAGCCGCAAGGCCCGGTGGGATGGGACTTCTTCACTCCTTTAAGGCTGCCTGAGAGGGTGTCTTTTCCTGGTGGCTCGAAGGTTTCTACTACCATGGAATTCCTTGAAATTCTCCGGAGCCCCGAAGTGTTTTCCACCGAGATGCTCACAAGAAGGGCCCGAGCCCTTGGTTCAGTGTTTGGTTCTTCCTTCTCGCAGTCCAGTCCGGAAGTTGTATGCACGTTTGTACGCGTGGCATCCGACTCACGAGGCATGGCGCGGCGAGTATGCCAGCGACGTGCGCCAGGCAGCTTGCAAAGTTCTCGCTGAGCCTTGGTCGTGACGCCGATACAGGAGCCACAACTTCGTGGCTGCCATGCTGTTCGCTGGGGTATGGGGCACCCGTTCAAGAAATCGCAGTTCGAGTTCTTTGCATAGCCTTTTGGCTATCCTAGTTTCACAAAGCCCTGCACCTTGAAACCGTCAACCTGACACTCGCGTGTTGTTTCAGGGAAGGCGAAACAAGCACTACAACCTAAGCCCTTGAGTTTTCTGGTTCCATTGGCTACGGTTTTTGCCAGATGGACTGTTCATCGCTGCCCGCTCCATTTTGAGATGACCGACCAGATTGCAAAATCGAATAGCACTTTTGAAGGGACACTACCCTATAGGCTCCAAATCCTAGGTAGATTATTCGAAACTCGCGTCTCCAAAGCTGCCCCGACGGGCCCAATGATTCCTGCTCCACTTATCCCAGGAAAGCGGCTTTCGCCAGGCCGGGCGGTTGTTTAAAGGGTATTGAGCAGATAGCGCTACAAAGTGTTGACTGGAGTCTCCAAGTAGCTCATTAGTCTCTGAGTGTCCGATCCAAAGAATTATAAAGAATCGCCAGAAAAGGCAACGGATTTTTGGTGTCAGTTTGGGCTTGAGTTCAAGTGAGAACGGACCACGCTCCACCTCAGCTTGGTTTTCTTGAATGGCAGTCGCCCTTGCTTGCGTGCCAGGGCTCATGTAGTCAGCTTTCTGAGTCCTTCTGAGCCTTTTGGGCGGCACTCCAAGCTCCCAGCCGCACAAGTCCCCGAAACGGGTCTTCTGCAAAGCTGCAGTATGTGGCATGCCTTAAGACCTTAAGAGCCACAAAAGGCATGGTTTCTTCTTGACTGAGTGCATGAAGCAGATTTTCAGAACCGATCAAGATCACAAGACGGATTGAGCTCCCCTGTGTCGTTGATCATGCTTGTTGTTGCCTCTTTGGGGGAGGGTTTTGCAGTCTTGGTTGTCCAACTTACCGACCTGGAACCACAAGGGTAGTTCTCTAAATTAGGGCCCCTTTTTCGGTCCCCAATATAGTACGGCACCCTTTTCATCCCAAAGGGACCCTACTTTAGAAAACTACACCCACAAACACCTCAAAACAGCGACTTGTCTCCCAGGGACAGCTCTCCCCTGCTCGCCTTTGGCAGGTTCCGGCCAGCATTCCCGGACGCTTAGCATTGGCAGCGCCTCTGTGGCTTGGTCGGGGTTTAGAGTTTAGGGCTTTAGCCGTTATAGGGCCTTATAGGGTGGGTCTCAAGACAGTCCACCTTCTCCTGGTATGGAGTTGGTTTCCACACTCTGGGGTGGGGGGGTGGGGGGTTTCATATGCACTACAGGCCTGTCGTCACATCATGCGCCATAGTAGCTGGCATGTGGGACTTTCCGAAAATTAGGGTACCTTATTTTGGGGTCCGTATAATAAGGATCCTACTATTTAGGGTACTATATTAGGGTCCCCCCATTTTTCGGAATGTTATCTGCTGGGTCTGAGCTCGCTCGATGATGTGGAATCGAATGACCTCATGCAGAAAAAGCCTCTCGCCCTAAACTGAAGCCACGAAAACCTAATCAAATCTCGAAATTTGCTGGAAAGTCCAAAAAGCCGCGTTGGCTGAGGCAGCTCATGGAGGAAAGCCCGAGGCCAAGGCCTCCGGAGATGCGGAAGCATCGTTATCACTCTGTGAGAGAGGGGTCGGAATAACTAGTTTATGATTTATAAATATTTATAATATTTATAATATCCGCATCACTATACCATAACAAACCCCAAGATGCTCTTCTACATGTGAAGGCCGCTATAGTAAATAGTAGTTTCTTACTCTTCGGTCCTCATGGTAGTTGCTTGTGCTGGTGCGGTTAAACTTCTTCTCGTCATAGCTATCACTCCGCTGCTGCGCTTGAATTCCACCACATGGTCCAAAGCAGATCTGGAAACCGCTTACCCGTGTGGCTTAGGGTGTGGGAGGTGGGGGGGGGTGGAGTTTCTGCGAGGGCTGCGGGGTAACGCGAGGCGCCCAGCTCCACCTCCTCGAAGCACTGCAGCCGCTGCAGGAACCGAAAAGGTGGCATCTGATTGGTTTGGGTTTTACAGTAGTTGAACTTTGCTTTAGGGTCTGAATTTCTTGTACAGGAGCGTGGCGGATGCCATGTGCAATGTGCAACAGGTCCGCAATGTGGGCCTCCGCCTCTCTCCAGCTTCCTGCTGGCTGCGGGTCTAGCAGGGGTCGCCTCGCCAAGTGGTTGAATGTGGTGTTCTTATCATTGTTATCACAGTATCATTCGGACTAGTTTTATTACTGGACGGGTAGTTGTTGTAACCGAGCTGGCAAGTAGCGGCAATAAGTAGTATACAAGGACTTAGGACATGACAGCAGGCTGTACTACAGGACCACTGCTTCGTCTGCTCTTGCGAAAGTCTTGGCCCAAGACAGCGCATGTCAGCTCCTCGAATCTGCAGGCTATTGTACCTACAGTTCGTACATGCATTGTGTGCTTTGGATTCTGAGCCGTTCCTTTGGGGTAGAAGCTCACAGAAGCTTGCTCAGGGAAATTCGATTGCCTAAGCCTTGTCCAAAGTGCCTGCGCCCTTGTGCTTGCGGCTTCGCCATGCTCCTGGACTGCATGCGAGTTCCAGTAAACCCCACCCCCTCCGCTCCATCGTGACTGAAGCCTTGATCCGTGTGCTGCATCTCCTCATGCTGCCCTCCGACAGTTTAGGGCCTTTAGGGTTTCAGGGCATCGTCTTCCAGAGATTTGGGGAGAAGCCGAGTTTCAATCAACCTTCAACCCTTTCCCACTAAGTGGCTTCTGAAGGCTCAATGCCCTGCAATACCGGCTCTCAACCGGTGTTTTTGGGAATGAGACGTCTCCAAGGTATCCTGCCGAGGGCCGACCGGTGAACTCTGTTCCAGGCCAGACCGCAGTGTTACACACATGCGAATATAAGTGTATTCCAACCTTAACAGTAAGGTTGGAAGACACGTATATTCGCATATGTGCACCGTATTGTACCGTAGTCTTGCAAGGGTGTAGGAGTTCAGCATTTAGAGGCTAGGCAGCTTGACTCTGTTGCGGTCGAAGGCTCGCAGGCAGCTTCTGCAACCTCTGTCTGGTGCGGACGTGAACACTTCCGAAGCTCAAGACCTGTCGACCCTCCCATTTTAAGCAGAACGTATAGGCTGTATAGGTTCGCTCCGAATATCGGAGGCTCCGCGGCCGCAAGAGAGCTTAGAGACCCGGGAGGCTCCTCGAAGCTCGTGACGCCGAACGAGCCTCCGGTTGGACCGGCCCCATGCTCGGAAGAGCTTTCCTTGGCAAAAGGCCCTGAAGGGCTTGAGGGTTGCAGGCTTACGGCCGAGGGCTTTATAGGGCCTGTAGCTTTTATGTTAGGGTCTGCAGCTTGGGGTTTATACCGTTGAGGCTGGGATTGGAGTTTGGGGCTTCGGGTTTTGTAGCAATCAGCATGGACACTTCAGTTTGAGGCATCTTGTTCTGTGTCCTGGTTTCTTTGTACGTGAGACGTTTCAACCCCCGTGTTCATTTCATTTCGTTCATCGGCTCTCATTCAGATTCACGCTTTTGCGAGCACGATTGCCAGACTAGGGAGGGAGAGGCACCTAGTCTACGACAGTGGACCTACCTGCTATACTTTATTCTAAGCCTAGGATCCCGATCTTGGAGTAGCACCAAACAAAGCAGCAACACGCAAAAAGACAGAGTCTGAAACACTGAGCCTTTCTCCAAGGTCTTTCGGCCACAGTCGACACCGGAGCGGAACCTAGCTGTCGCGATCGAGGGCTCAGGGGTCGAAGGTCGTTCTCGTGTGGGATATTGGCAGGTTAAGGTCTTTGGAACTGGTCCTTGGGAATGGATGCGTTCATCGTTCTTGTCGTTTCACTTCCATATGTCTGAGTCCCAGCCGGGAAGTATTCGTTGTTGTTAAGTTGGGAGCGCTTGGAGCGTGCTTTAACGGCCCGCAGCCCGCGGCAGGTCAGTCAGTCTTGTGGAGCTGTGTGCTACAAGGCTCCCAGACTCTTGAGCTTCAGCCTCTAATCTTGAGACTCAGGTTTCTGCACGTGTGCACTTGCAGGGCATAGGGCACAAGATCTCAGCAGCACGCAACTTGAACTTGTTGACGGACAGAGGAACACAGCATCAAGCCAGAGTCTGATATTCAATTTTCTTGCAACAGAAGCATCACAGAGGCGACAAGGAAATTGCGTACTCAACGGACCAAACACTCAGAGTCTCCCTCGGTTAACACTGAGACCGAACATTGTCATCCAATCTCTATATATTCGTTTGTGCGAAAGCCTCCCAAACAGTGACGGCGGGGTACTGGAAGTCTGCATTGTGGCTCTCAGGCCTGGGTCAAGTCGCCCTCGCCGACCGGACGAAAGGCCTCAGATATGGCACCACCTGAGCTTAAAGCGTTACAGTCTAACGTGGCTATGTAGGTATCGTCGTGGCCTAGCCATGTGACCTCACCCCCGCGGGCTTGTCTTTTCAATCAAACGCTCCCTTGTCTTCTCTGGAATGACTGGGTGTTCGTCTGCCACAAACCCTGCTTATGTAGCACTCGACGACTTACCACGTCACTGCCACTACCACCACTACCACTACCACTACTGCGACCACCCTTACCACAACCACGAACAAAACCACGACCGCTATTTCTACCACTGCCACTACTACCACGACTACTGAGACAAGCACTAGAAGGACTGCTTGTATTGTTGCACCGACAACGGCGAGGGCAGCGACTCCCACTAGAACAACCGCCTTTGCTGCTGCTCAAGACAGCACATACGACGAACAAAAGTCCAAGGATGACGATCTTCGCAACACCAACTCATAAGCAGACCGAGAAGCACTGTCACCACTGCTCCTCCTCGTCGTCCATCTTTTCCTTTCCTCTTCGTCATCCTGCAGATTATCTATTATATATCATAGTTCGATGGTACACTAGAATAACATTATATGCTGGAGGCTTGAAATGTCAATAACCTTTCAGGACGAGAAGAACACCGAGGTGGAGGCAGAGCGTCTTTGGTGGTCCGATGCCTGCGAGCGCCAGGTCAAGGACTAGAGTTCCTGTCTTTCCTTTGAGTCTAAGGCAAAGGTTTGGGGTGGTTTAAGGTTATTGAGGGTCTAGAGCTTGAGGATGGCAGAAATTCCTGCAGACGGGCTGGGGTGGCAATACATATCATGCCCTACTCGTAGTCTTTCGCCCCGCTCATCCCTACATCCTGCAGGTCCATGAAAGCCATGCCTCGAAAGGAGCTGCAGAGCGCCTTCAGCACAGAGTTCAGCCGCCTGGCCGAGCGGTTGACGCGAGATATTGCTGGCTGCTGGGGCCCCAGGGGTCTTCGCCAAAGGACATTTGCAGAATCAATGTTTGTGTAGCGTGAGGGAGCATGTAGGACGAAGGTTGAGAGTTGTGGCTTAATTAGGGCCTACAGCCCGGAGCCCTGTATAGCGTCTGAAAACCTGAGGCCTAAGTACGTGTAGCGTTGAAAATGTTGTACTTCCACTTCTCCAAGTAGTTTGCTGGACCAGTCATTCACATGGCTATGGATTTAATTGTATCATAGCACAAGTCACTGCAACGACGCAAAGTCAATACCTACATGTTTCAAGACAGGTAGTCCCAGGAAAGGCTACCATCGTCACCACAGGCTTTCGTCACTTCCGTCATGTCTCCACCGATTCGTCTTCGCGTGATCGTGACTGGGTGTCGCGAGGCTTTTTCAGGAGGATTCCTAGGCCTGCCGGTGAAACACAGGGAAGTCACGGCTCCCGAGGTGAGCAGAAGCTGGAGCAGCTTGCCCCTGGCTTAGTAAAGAGCGTCCCATCTTGTGAGGGTTGGGGGTTTTGCATAGGAGGCTGTCCGAACTCTGGGCTTTTTAGGTGCAGGGCTGGGATATGTTCGTTGAGGGTAGGACTTGGCGACCTCCAGGATACCATTCCATTCGGGCATGTGATAACTGATTTACACTGAATAAAGGCACCTATGTCAAGAGCAGTTGGCGGCGAGAACGGATACTGTAGCCTTCGGTTCGACAGACCTGCCCTAAGGTGGACAATGAAAGCAAAATGAGGGCCCACGCGCTGGCCGAGATCAGGTGGCTGCGATCTTGTCGTGGTGGGTGGTGACAAGAATAAGCGCTTTTCCAACTTCATGCCGCTTACGCTTACCGACTACCCTTTGTCAAGCATGCTGGCCTTAGGGATAGGTTGGAGCTTGCCTGTACGATAATCCAGGAGAATCCTTAAGCTTAGCCCCAAAATCCAGATCCGTATCAGATTCTCAAGCCAACCTGAAGGCCTAAAGTCCGAATACAGCGGCCAACTGCACTCCCTAAACCCCGAATTCGACAACCAGGCTCACAAAGGCAGAGCTTCGAGAGCACACCTAGCGCACCGAGCAGCCCGAGCCGTTTGGCCCTGCTAGGATTTTTCGCGAAGCCGCGGAACCGCGTGCGATTGCCGCGGCGCAGCGTGCCCTCAGCAACCTGATCCTTTGAAGATGCACACAACAGCCCGAAGTGGTACCACACAAGCAGCACAACTACAGCGAGGCCTGCCTGGGGCCTAGGTGTGACTGCTGAAATGCAACTATAGCAGCATTAGAGCAACAGTTAGTAGCCGTACTATATTGTACTGCCCATGTGAGTGATGATGACAATGACATTAATATACTGCCCATATCAAAAGCATGCTCAGGAAGAAAGTTCTAAAACCTTAGCCAAGATAATCCCACTGAACATCCCCAACTGCGGCATGGCTGTCGTTGGGCTCACATTATAGGGCACCAGGAAAGCTGACAGAGCTGTAGATGGGTTGTCCATGCTCGGCATTGAACACCAGATTTGCTGGAACTACGGTTGACGGTTTATATCATCAACAGTAGGGCGGAATGCGCTTAGCAGGCCTTGAAAAACGCATCTGGGCTTGGTCGGAGCTCTGGGAACTGGTCAAACCCTGCCAGGCGGGAGGCCGACAGCCAGGGGACCGAGCTTTCGGAGCTCATTCGGCCCGGGTCCTACATGGAAGCATCCTCGGGGACGTGTAGGATGTAGGGTTAACTAGAAGCATATGCGTTTATGTGTAGGTACGGATTGTTTCTCATAATCAGTCGTTCAGGTATGGATGATAGATGGATAGATGGGTGAATGAAAGATCGACAAAGAGACAGGATATAGAGCCAGCTGAAGTGTATAGGCCCAGGTAAGGGTAAGATATCTATCAACTACCCATGAACGTTCACTTTGTGTAAACCTCCAAGGCCCAATCAGCATGAATCATAGGGCAGCCTCTTCAGGGCTCGGTGATGACTGACCGAGAGTCCAAATCCTGGTCCCGGAGTGGGGTCCCTTGTTGGGCTTCTCAAAATGCCTCGAAGCCAGCTTCAGGGCTCAAACTGAAGGTAGCAATGGTAGCGACAGTCTTTTCTAGGAGCACGGTGAGACTTTTCTGGGCAAACTGCTCGCATTTTCTCCGCTGGCATCAGTTGTGCAGCAACAGACGCGGACCACAAGCTTGAGCATAAACAGCGCGAACTAGTTTGCTGCTGTGGATCAGCTCCAAAGCTGTAGGCAACACCAGCACCAGCTGTCTGCCGGCTTTGTTCCGAGGTCCCATCAAGATGTCAAGGATCAGGTGACGTCTCTCCAGGCTACGAGGGCCTTGGGGTACGAGTTTCAAGGGTCGTGCTTCGGGTCGGGATCTCCACCAGACTCTACCTTCAAGGCCCAGCACGTCGGAAGCCAAGCTCGTCAAACTCCCCACAACACCAGCTAAGATGTGCCATTAAACCTCGTAGTATATATCCCCTAGTTATAAAACCTTCATAAACCCTACAACACCCCTATATCACTATATCATCCTACAATTCAAGCCCTTCTGAAACCCCAAACAGAAAGAAAAGCCAAGACCTCAGCCGTAGCTTGAAGATTACTCCGACATGTACACACCCTTTTGGACCTCACCCCCTCTCCCCTCGAAACCCGAAAGCCTAATAGGGGGATGTCAGCTGGGCGGGTGGGAAAAAGTAAGGGATTCCCGTGCGGGGCTTCCAGAACATCAGAGGTGCCACAGTTTACTATTCAGGGTTTGTGACTGGGTGGTCTGAAATCTTCCGTGCAATGGGAACACAGTCAGCACTTAGAATTTCGAAGGCAAAACCTAGACCCAGAGCCTAATTCCTGATCTTCTGCTGTAGTCCCTATGAATCTCTTGAGCCCCAAGCCGAACTCTGCGAGTTCCGGAACACTGATCCTTACGGCCCCCCAGTACCAAAAACGCTAACAACGGTTTCATCTAAACCCGAAAGCCCAAAAACCAGGAACCCGACAAGCAAAATACGAACGAATCATCCCTGACCTGAGCCTCATAGACTCTAACAAAACCCATTAAGAAAAAAGGAGCCCTTAAACCCTCAAGGCCTCAACCTTAAAAGTCCTAAAACCTCTACACCCTGAAACCTCCTGAAACCTGGTCAGAGAAGCGGGGTGGGGAAACACAAACCCAAGACCTTCAGATTCTGTGCTTGGCTGTTGAGAGGCTTCTCTGTGGCTTCGCCCAGGGGCCGAGAAGGACTTCGACAAACTCCAGAAGGAGGTCAGGGTCGGGAGGGTTTCCGGGTTCTTAAGGACCCTAAACTATTGGACTTATGGTATATTCTTGATTATGGGTAATGCAGGATTTATGCGCTGTGAAGGAACTTGATTTTCAGCGGCCAGAATGGGGGCATCCATGGTAAATAGGGTTTCCTGACTATGGTAGCTTAGTTCCAGAACAGCAACCCAGGGTTTGGCGCTTAGGGGTTTGGTGTAGGGTTCAGGCTAATTATCGGCCCTGCCCTTGGTCCATGGTTCAGTTTTGAATCGGGGTGGGCTTCAGGTTTTAGGATTCAGGTTCGGGTACTAGGATTCAGGATCGGTGCCTTCCGTAGCATTAGAAGAGACTTGTGGGTTCAGACGTTTTGGATGACTAAAGGGCTCTGAAGAGCTTTCTGTGATTGCGCATTTTTGGCCTGGGATTCTAGGGGTTGGGGTTTTGGGTTTGGGACTGTAGGATTGTACCCAGGTCGGTTCAGGATAAAGAGGAGCCTCCATTCGAGTTTGTTCTTGGGCGGGTTTCTCATATGCCGCCAAGTTTTGTGGAACCCATTGAAGTGCTGTGCCAACGGGTTTGGGACGTGGCAGGGTTTCTATGACATCGCTCTTCTTCAGCGCCGGGAAGTAATTTAGTTTGGCTTGCGGGAACAAGCCCAGCAACTCCAAGTTTCAGCCTAGGGCGTGGGGCGACGCGGGTTTCTCAGTGGAGGTCCCTCGGTGCACCTTCAGGCTGAATCACCAAGATCTCGACTACATAAACCGTCCCCACTACCCCACCCCAAACAGCCCGGCATCTCTGACGAAAGTTGTGGCGGGGCCTGCACCTTTTCGGTACCGCCCCGTGGCCTAAATGGGCTGACAAAGCACTTCTTCTGTAGTGGATTCTTTCTGAGAACTCTATCCCAGAATACACTCTGCAATTCCTGCGAGAAGTTGTCCGAATCTCTCATGAAGCCTAGTCGCTGAAAGTCCGATACGCAGCAGCCAGGTGCAGGAGACGCGAGATATGGTTTTAAGTCTCCAGCCGCGAGCCACAGATCAAGAGAAGCGAAAATGCTCTAGCTAGCCTTGCAAGCACCGCAAGAATGACCAACGAAGGGCAACATTATGCCCCTAGATTCCACATGCAAATAGGCTCTATGAGTTTGTAGGTGCAAAGAGATGTTGAAACAAGGTATCGTCCTAGTTCTTTGGACAAGGATGTTTGTATGCACATGCACGCGAGAGCAGTGCTAGTCCTCGGCTTCAAGGATTCAAGAGCCCACCTCAACATCCCCCCGGTCGTACGATACAGTACGATAAATACTCAGTACTGATTTTCCGGGCTTCTATGGCATACGGTATGTTCCACAAGGAAATTCCAACATGAAGCTAGCAGCTAACAGCCTAGACTCACAAAAGAACAGGCGGCGGCAGGGAGTGGCACGTAGGTGCTATCACTATGTGCGCGAGATGTGACAAAGATTCAGAGCGTTTAGGCTTGCAGCCTTGCTTGAGGCTTCTGACGTTTGAAGTTTTCGCCTTGACGTTTAGAGCTCGTTTGCATCTTTGGAAGCTGTATAACTATGCTCAAGAGCCTTGTCGAGCAGTTTGTGATTCTAATGGTCACGTTAGTGGGCTCATTAAGCCCGAGACCATGCGTTCAGTTCGTAACGCAAGGTTGACGCAAAGCTCACTTTGTACAGGTCTGAAATCCTGAACTTTGCTTTTTGTATTTCTTCCTGCTCAAGTCTTGCTTGCTCCCTCCTCTTAGGTCGAGGCCCGTGCTGGAGATCCCATCGGAACACAGCCCGCAGAACCTCAAGGCCAGGCAAGCCGCAATGCGTAAGCGCAAAGCTTCTCTCTATAGTTCCGGGTCTTACTGCTACGTTGGTAGCATCAGTGGTCTATGATCACTGGTTAATCTGCACTAGGTGCTGCTGGGTGTGATTTGTGACTATGGCATCGTGATACCCAGATATGGGAGTCAGTGCTCCGAGCATCTTCCGATCCCCCGGCGCATGCATGGGCAGCTGTGCCATAAGCTTCGCACCTGCAGCCCGAAAACGCCAGCAGGTTTTCAGGAAAGACTCTCCGTAACGAATCTTTAGGGTGCGCCACAGTTCTGCCAAGGAACAGGGTGTGTGCCTTGACCAACAGGGTGCCAGGGCTCTCGCCATGCCGGTTTATCCATAAAGCACGGAGGTTCTTGCGCGCGAGGTGCAGATTCTCATGGAAGATGCAGATTGCGGGACGGATCTTTCCGTTCCGAGAAATCGTCACGCAGCAGTCGTCACCGGCATGGCATGACCGATTTCTGTGTGCGCAGGTGTAGGTGTGGTGCTGTGACGATACACTGTTATACACCGTTACATTTCCGGGCAACAGTGCAGCTCGTAACTACCCTTCCAAATGCTTGCGCAGTGCCATAGTGTGCAAAGGTGAAAAAGGGATCGTGGTTTGTTGTTCGTATTTTTGTTTATACGGTGAAGTCTGTAACAAATGGAGGGATCGCAGGTTTAAACAAACGTCACCGTATGCTTGAGCCACACTTGCAGCCGTTGCAGAATGAGCTCGCTGATCGGACATCAAGGTCGGCTTGCAATAGTCGTCGATGGCTTAGTCTTCGCATAGTGCCGTTCACTCATCCCTCAATCTTCTCCCACGCGGAGCCCATCGTTAATTAGGCAGAACCTGTTATCGACCACAGCAGCATAAGACACTCATTAACAGGCTTCGAGTCAAAAGCAATGATGGAGTAAGCTCCATTTCCCAGAAGCCAATTGGCATTACGATGTTCACCATACCTGTGACAGGTGCAGCAGCTGGAGGCAACTCTTACCGACATCCGCCGTGATTTGGTCGGATGTGTGGGCGCCCAGCGTTTTGTCGCCTTTGCCCCATGCCTTGCCAATGCATGGCTTTGGGTCGGCCGGCTGTGTCGTGACATTGACCGGAACCCAACAGCCAGCCTCCAGACCATCATAGCGTCCCCTTAAGGCCGGAAGAACCTGTAGCATTCCTTGGTGCAGACCCGATGACCCCCTGAGGTGTGGATGCCCAAGAGCAGGCCGAATCTAGGTTTCTACACGGTTCGAGAAGGGATCTTTATGGGGAATTTCTGAGGGTTCCTTCAGGGGACGTTACAGCCTTTGGATATTGGCTTTGGTATAGTTTGTTCAACGCCGAGATTCCTGGTCGGGGTTGTATAAGGGTTTTGGTGCGAGTTGGGGTACAATGTGCAAAGCCGTGGGAGAGAATAGCAAGTTCTGGGTTCAGAGTGGGGAAGGGAGGTTCAAACCCCCAACGCCACACCCCCGAACCTGACCGAAGTGCAGAAGCGCCTTCGCCCTCCATAATGACCGATGACCGATAATGTTTGATACTGTTCCCAGTACCTTTTTTCTATCGATGCACCAACTGAGAGGGGAAAGGTAGAGGTTAAAAGGAACCATTGGCGTCCCGCGGCCGCACCAGTAGTAATGGCGATGAGCCAACGTGCGCAGAAAAATCTTGCGATACTCACTAACTAGGTGGCACTTTGGGAAACTTGCCAACTTCTCCTTATGAATCCTATAGAGGTACCTATTCACAAACTCCAGCCTAACCATTATCATGCGATAGTCGAGGTGGGGTAGCCGCTGAGTCAGAGAAGGGTGGTCGGATGCAGGTCCCTAAACCCTAAACACCTACAGTAAAACCCGTACCCGTCTACCGTAAAGACCCGAAGCCTTAATAACACAGCTTATACCCTAGATATCCCCAATCCGTACACGCCCTAAACCCTGAACCATCCCCAATCCGTACACGCCCTAAACCCTGAACCATATTCATACATTTCCGGATCTCTTCAGCTTGGCAGGGGTTCAGGCTTCGCGAGGTGTCGCCTCAGCCCTCCTGCCGTCTTGGGGTCACGGCTTCAATCCACAGGTACGAGACTCACTAGACCCCAAGAATCCTCAAGCTCCAGAGCCCTCATTCAACCCTCGAGCCAACCAGCGAATCCCGAAAGCGCCACACTCTGAAACCCTAGAACCGTGAAGCTCCCAGAAGCGCAGACCGAGCCCTGAACCCTAAAAGCATTAAGATGTTTGATTGTTTCCAATGCTCGTCCTTATGTTACCGTTGTGGAAAAAACCTTCTAGAACCTGCAAGTGCAGGTCGAGAAGCTTATCCAGTCCTTGCAGAGAGATTGCTCAGAGGTCCAGGAGAAGGCACGGATGCCGTCGTTTGGTTTGCGGTCGGGGGGCGTTGGAGTCTATCTGGCGGGCAATTGCCCATCAACACTGCACAGGACCCATACAAAACTCTTGACAGACTCGCAGAAGGGGAGGTCATCGACATGGAGAAAGAAGGAAATGTCGATGTAGACAGGTCAGATAGGGCAGTCGAACAGCGAATGCATTTGTAGCTGGTGCAGCGAGCTGGACTTCCCGGCTGGAGTTGGGCAGCAGATCTTTCCGAAGGTTAAAGGGAGCTCCCGCACCGAACCCCTGTTGCAAGTCGCAGGTTCGTCTCCAGAGCCTGGCAAGTGAGGAGCAACGCTCGCTCCACCAGGCCCTCAGCGTGTTGGGCTTCGAAAATCTGGCGGTCGTATTTGAAGATGTCCTCAGCAAGAGCCGGATCAACCTTCGACTTGCAAACCCTTACATCCGAAATTTCTGAATCCCCAAAACCCCAAAAGCCCTGTGCGAAGCCTTGTACAGGTCATCTCCCAGAGTGCCGGAGATCTTGGCAAAGGCATCGAGGAAGTGCCAAGACCTGAGGCGCTCTTTGCGTTCTGTCCGCTCAGTGCTTTAGGGTTTAGGGTTTAGGGTTTCCGGGCTGATGAATATCTGAAGTCGCATAGTTTATAGACTATATAGATGCTGGTGGCTGTGCAGTATCTCTGGGCTCCTTGCGCATGCTGGCTAGTGTGTACTACGGGGTGTTCGGGATGCGAGAGTCTATGTCTTTCTCGCCAGCGCCGTAAACAGATTACGTGTCATGTTTTCTGCGGTACAAAACGGTTTGGATGTGATGATTTTGGTGTTCGTGGCGAGCTGGGCCGGTGCCGGACTGTGAAGAGAACAGAGCGCCACACAGTGGGAGTCGCGACTGTCATGCGCGCCTGCCCACGCAGCTTGTGGGAAAGTGAGATAGAGTGAGAGAAAACATTGAAAACATATACATGCACGCATGCATACACACATGCACGTATGCATGCATACTTACAGCCTTTCTTAGGTACTTGCTTGCTTACTTCCCTGCCTGCTTGCATGCGTCCACATGTACATGGATATTTTCATATATATATATACACACACATTACAGTGCATCACGCTACATTGCGTTGCATTGCATCACTAACATTTGTTCTTGTCCCTCAGTCGGTTAGGAAAATCTCTGAGACCGCCCCGACCCGTGCCCTACTTCCGAGGTCTGCAGCGATGCTCCAAGCGGAGAGCAATCTCCGACAGGCTCGGCTCGGATGCTCTGGGCAAGTAAGGGGGGCCGTTGTCATGTAAAGGCTTCACTGAAGTGCATGGGCGTCGGCATGTAGGTCCATTCCCAAGGCCGGACCGGCCAAAGCCGATCCCAAAATCTAAACTTGCCTGAGCCTTGAAAAAGTTTTTTGGATGGATGCCCGAAGGACCACCCTCTGGCAACCGAAGCCTTAAACCTTGCGAGAGCTCTAAACCCTCCTCCTCCTTGCGGGTAGCAGCCGTCCTTCTTGGGTCTAGCTGTTGAGTTGGGCCGATGCATTTCCCACCGTTTTCCCAAGCTGCAGAGCGATTGATTGTGCGATGCTGCTTTGGGTCAGGGCCCGAATCCGTAAACCACACGCTGAGCCGACCCTGAAGCTGAATCCCAAGCTTCCTGGTCCCAGGCTCCGAGAACTATCCAGATCCTTCGAGCCCTCTAGACGGCCTGGTGCTGTGATCCCCGTAGACCCCCACTTTTAAGCGCGCTCGTCCTGAAAAGACTGCCCCCCCAAGCAGGAGATCCAGAAGAACGACCGTGAGATACGAGCTGCAGCCCCAAAAGGACTTCTGGGGTCGAAGGTTTCGGCTTTAATGTGCAAAATGAACTTGGGGGGGCTTCTTCGGTTTATCATTATAATTTGCTTATAATTGTTAGTGGTTAGGGTTTGAGTTCTTCACTTTAGAGCTGGCGGCGAGGTTCTGCGGGGGTCCCTCTTCGGAGAAGAGGCAGCTGGAATGAGCAGCTTCGCTAACGGTTGCGAATCAACACGGGTTTACCGTTTCTGAAGGAGAGGATACTGCCCCTTACGCTTCGTCGCAGCCTGTGCATTCGCAGACGAGGTTTGTGGTCGTTGTTCCGACATGTTTTTGTTTTTATCCGCTTGATTTTGTGACATTCTCCGAAGCAACATGCCACGAACCAGAGTCCCTGCGTTTTGACGCAGGCATGTGTTGCTTTTCGTTCGGCAATGTCGTCCAGTTGTGGTTTCTACAAGAGCTCAGAATCCAGTATGTGAGGGTCGGTTGTGGGCATGCTGTGCCACTATGCTCATTATGCTCGCATGACGGAACAGGGTAGATGTGCCGCTGCAAAGGTGGGCATAAGGCAGCATATTCATGCAGTTGAGATCTATTGGGCGCTATTTTGGCTGATGTTTCCCTGTAGTTCTGGCAGTTGTCGTAGTTAAGGCTGAGGAGGGTTTTCAACGGATTTCAGGATCCGATTTTCAGTTGGCTTGTTCATCCAGATACCTCTTCTGCGGCACACAGTCCTGAGCCACAGATGCTAGGCCGCTGGGTCTCGATGATATAGTGATCAAGCAAATATTTGTTTGTGTTTCTTGTTCCTGTAGCAGTACCGGATACAAGCAAGAATAAGGGATGTGAACTGGTTTAACACGAAGCAGACATCTTCCACTAAGGTGAGACTCGTGTCAGTGATGGTGATCTGGCCCAAGCAAGTAGACGCGTTTGCGGTGTCCTTTTGGAAAGGGGTTAAGTACCCATATGTTCTATAATCATGTCAGGACACCCTTACCGCAACAGCGAACTTTATGCAGGCCTTCATATATTTCGAGATTTCAAGAGCAGCCGATGGAGCCTCCCTCGAGCGAGAGGCTTCTCCCTGCCCTAAACGTCCCTGAGTATTTGATCCTAAACCCGAAACCCCTGAACCTTTCCATCATTTTTTTTTAGCCCCATGCGCGCTGAGGCTGAAGTGGTCGAGGTTGGGGAAGGGCTGCCAGATTCGGAGTTGAGGGGTTTATAGGGCCTGAACGGGCTGATCGGGCTTCCAGGGTTTGCAAGGTTCAGGTTATTTAAAGCAGTTTGTAATGTTTGACTTCGGCCAGGCTAGGGGTTTGGGGAGATTCGGGCTGAATAGCTTGAGCAGCTAGCCTTTGAAGTGTAGTTTCAGGTCCAAGGACGCCGGGCTCTTGCAGGAACCTGCTAGCTTAACACCTTGGGTCTCGTAAGTAAGCGGATCCTGCATTAGGGTGTAGGACCGTAGGATTTGCGGCATCTCAAGCGGCAAATCCCAGAGCCCTGACGGCTTCAAAGCAAGAGCCTGTGTAAGTTTCTGCCCCACTGTCCCTTGTAGATGTACTAGTAGTGGTAGATGCCTTTGGAGAGCGGCTTGTTGTAGAATGTGTTCCTGAAAATCTACCGGCATGCAATTACTTGCCACTCTCTTGCTAGATTCACTTCGACTTCAAAAGCTGTTGCACAAGAGTAGCTTAGACGTGCATATTGCGCCAAGACCCCCCCAGGCCCTTACCGCCCATGGTTCCAAAATCATCTTGGCAACGAAAGACGAAGATACTTGTAAAGATCCCCGGACTCGGGGATGCGCACATATCCGCACTTATGAGCTTGTGCTTCGCCTGCTCAGGGATAAAGTTTGAGGAGGCTTTTCGGGAGTTGGCATATCCTCGGCACATGCATTGTTGCAGCCATTTGGGTATTCGAGCGCGTCCTCCCTGTCCCTGCAACACTGCAGGGCGATTTTGTCTGCAGGACCCGAATTGAAGTAGCCCGTTTCGATTGGCTGTTTGGTTCTTACGGTTTCACAAGCTGTCCATTCCAGAAGGATGTTGTTGCTTGAACATTCTACATCCCTCAGCCCTTCTGGCAGGGTTGGGCAAAGAGGCCAAACGATCCCTTCATCCAACATAAGCTCAGCAAAATTACTGCCATTTTTCCATGTCGAAGGATGGCGCCAATGCCGGAGGCTGCCATGCGGCTGGGCAGAGTAAGGTTGTCAGAGCCCGGCCGGCGTTCCTCATCTGAGACCCCATGGCCTCGACGCGCCGAATCCCAATGATAAAAACCCCACCAGAAGCCAAGGAAGCTGCTCTTGGTGCGGCCAGCAGTCGCCCGTCTCGAGTGGTTGCTAAAGCCGAATGATTTGGATTCTCGCGTCTACGGAGCCTACGGTTCGAAGCTGGCGATCTGATGGAATGATGTTGACGATGATTGCGGTGATCCGATGCCTTAGGTGATGGGGAGGAGGAGGAGGAGAGTGATGAATGCATGTCTGCATGCAGACACATTTAGGAGGACGCATGTAGGGTTTGCACCTTCTTCTATGCTGCCCACGCTCATCCAAGCATTGCTCCGGGCGGCCTACCTCTGATTGCCATGAGCTGTGCAGGCTGCACACTGCCTCAATGACGTCTTGTCGTTTTCGTTCGGTGATGGTAAATTCAAATTTTGCGTTAGTTGTCCTGGTCAACCTGCCTTTGTAAAATTTCCATGTGCAAATTATATAGCCCAGCTAGATCAGTGTTCACCTCACCTAGGGAGCTTAGCTCCCAACAGCATTGCGCCTAATTTCCCTGCCGCGATGTGGGTGACAGGTGCCAGCACCTCTGGATCCAAACTTTTCGCCGCTGATTCTGGGCAAGCGCAACTATCTCAAGGCCGTCGATTTCGGACTGCGTTTTGCTGTAGGTCCGAAAGTTTCGGAGTCCTGAAATATGCAAGCTGACTAAACACACACACACACCGCACACCGACACTAAATTCTTTGTTTTCGCCACAGACACACTGGCTAAGCGTGACTCCTCAGGCGCAACACAGGACTTGGGAGTCTTTCGTCCAGGATTTGTGGTGGTTTAGGGTGTTCGGTTCAGGTTGTGCCTCTCTCGATTGGCTTTCCTTTCCCACCTTTTAGCGCCAAAGCCATGAGGCCATCTAGCAAGTCAACAGAAAGGAGATGGACATCCTTGAAATGCTCATGAGGGAAGTTCCGATTGACTGCCGCACACTGTACCACAAACAGTGCTGCAGAGGTGGAAACATGGTCGATGTTCGTTTCAGATGGGAAACGATCAAACCAGAGGTGTTGGCCACATCCTTTTTTGTTCCTGTCCATCCCTGTCTGTTCCTAAGCCAAAAATTTCATCATCACGACTGGCCCGAGTCTGCCCCCGAAACGAAAGCCTTCACGGGTCAGGCCGTGGCCGCTAGTGGCAGCAAGGCCACGCTTGCCACTGGTCCGATCGGACATCTTTGCTCTTCCGGGATTCAGGTTTAGGGTATGTAGGGCTTTAGGGTTCAGGCTTGTAAGGTTTCGGATTTAGTGTTCCGGGAACACTGCTTTTGGTGTTGGCGCTTAGGTTCCGAGCAATTGAGTTGGTGCTTACCGGGTTGGGACTGCAGCCGATGATGTCTTCAGTCGCGGTAAACTTAAAAAGGCTACACAGTCCACCCTGAAAGGAGACATTAATTTAGGGCTTGAGGGATATTTATCGCTCGGCGCTTGTTGATGGCGAAGCCCAAACCTTACGACACCATCCTTTCAATCCTAAACCCGCGACCTTCAACCCTAGACCGAACTTCTCGAAACCCTCGAACCCGATACCTTCAACCCGACACAACCCAAAGCCCCCCACCTTCAACCTTCAACCCTAAGCCCCCATTCCTGGATCCCGAAGTCTATATTCAGTTTTTGAGGACTGGGCCCTGCCACGAGCAGATGGCTGCGCTCGCGCCTTGGCAAGGGAAGGTCTCAGGGTTTTCTTTTAAAGTTCTATCATGCCTGTGCGGTTCCTGAGATCACCAGGATGCGTACGAAAACGAACATCCACACGCTAAAGCACGCATGGTATCGTTCTGCAGGGCCGCAATGCCCACCTGAAGATTGATTTGTCATTTGCCTTGCGGGGGGGGGCTCGGGAGTCTACCCTCAACCCACACCCTCGCTTCTCCTTCCCACTTCTCCTGCCACGTCACTGCAGGCTACACGCTGCCTGTGTTTGCAGAGGAGCTTCCCCTATTGTCGGCATAAACTTCCCGAGCCGTTGCCTTGCTGCACCCCTACCGACTGGGCCTTTTATTCTTGTTACCATCACGTTGAAGCTTGCAAGGGAACTGAACTGCCGAAGTAGTGTATGGACGGGCAGAGCCTGTCCCGTTGTCACGGTCGGGCTGCAGCTGAACGGCTCAAGTTGCACATTGAGATGGGAGGATCATGAGGGCCTGACGCTGTCATCTCGACTACCATCAGTATCAGTGAGTATGTAGAATCTCCTTTCACGCCAAATGCGGCATTCGTTGCCAGGACAGCAAGGAGGTCGAAGCCTCGATATATCTGGTGGGAGTCCTCATCCAAGAGCAGAAGCCTGGCTTTCACGTTTATGCTTGTCTTGTATGCTGGCTCGCGCTTGCGGTACAAGGAGTCTCGTTGCTGTGGCTACCAAGTTTACAGCTTCTTTTCAGTTAGCAGACATCGAGGTGGTAGCAGCAGTCGTCGTCGAGCACAATGTTCTTATTTTTCGGTCCTAGATTCTACCTACTCTTTGATTCCCTTAAGTTTACACCTACTTGTCAAAGCCCCTACCTTGGATTCTTTCACCCCAGAGCTTCTCCAAGGATTTGGCAGCGAAGCGCCCAGTCGATGATGCTCTGCGGTCCAGCAAAGATCTGCGAGGTGCCCTTCGCGTCGCGGGGTGGGATTTGGGGTTTTGGGGTTTCCCTGCATCAAGGAGTCCCAGCTGCAAAGGATTTAGACCTTTGGGTTTCTTCAGGGCTGAGAACAGCCAATATAGGATGTATAGACTTTTGGGTTTAAGGGTGATCTCGGAGTTTTGAGGTTTTGCGTTGTCTTTAGTTGCTGAAGCTGGCTCGCAGGCTAAGGGCTGTGGGTGGCGGGGCAAAGTTTCGGTCGGGTGCAGAGTCCAAGATCTAATTTTTTAGGGGTCGAGAATTTCAGCTCAACACAGATACTCGAGTACCCAGATGCATGATGGGCTTCAGAATCTGACAGTTTCAGGTGTGCAAATCTACTACTGTTCGGTTGCGCTCGGGCATATCGCACAGAAGCTTCCTTGGTCGTTGGATGTGTCTGCTTAAAATGCATTCGCCGAGCATGTGTGTGTGTGTGTGTGTTCCCTCAATTGCTCTTGCACTCGCAAGCCCTACAAAGTGGGGTCGACCGCAACCTCTTCAGATTCCCATGGGCAGGCATTGAAGAAGGAGTTCTCCGTTGGCGGGACCTACGAGTTTGAGGTCAAGTCGATGCCTAACGTGTACCGAGTCTGAACACCACGGGGTCCTTGTAGCAAAGTACTTTTCGTGAACTTTAAACCACCGCGGTTCTACAGGGCCCCGATCGTGGGCTCTGCTTCCATAGCATGTGGCAAGTACTCTGAAGCACGTGCCGTTCCGAGTACTTCTTGGCTCTTGTCTGCCCAGCCCACTCCCAGACCTTCAATCTCGAGGTGCGGGACTCCAGATAGCGCGTTCTCCGTGAGCATCGTCGCTAGCACAGCTGCACTGCCTGCAGCAAAGGACACACCGCAGGTCGGAATCACAGTGCCAGATGCATTGGAGCGGCGTAGCGTGCAGGGCTTACGGGTTGTGGGTTAGAATTGGTGTTTGGGACCGGCCAGGGCATGGGTTGTGCATACGGTTGAAACATGTACAGAGGAATGCACGGGGACTCCGGGCACAGAGCTGCTTCTGAAGAGGGGCTGCGCTGAGTTCACATAAGGGCTTCTAGTCTGGGGGTGGAACAAGCTATCAGGAACCCACCAGTTACATGCTACGAAGCCACAAATGCCGAACATTCTGGGGCAGTCAGGGTCCAAGGAACCCAACAATTGGGAACTTGGGTGTAGGAGAGTAGGAATGTAAGGTAGTACTTTGGGGGTTATATATGATTATTAATTACCAGGTGCTTGGGCCATTGGGGAAGCTTCATGCTATGCTGGGGTTTCTCGTTTCAACAACGAAGATAGCACCTCTTCCGATTGTGGACATCAAGTCGTCTAGGGCATCTTTTTGAACGCGCTGTCATCCACTCGGAGGTGTGCGGCAAAGATGCCTCCGGTTGCAGACTGGCCTTCGACCTTGGCAAGAGTGACATTAAGACGCTGTGCTTGAGTCTAAAACCTGCAGCTGGTCGATGCTGTATGCTACGCATTCATTCCCTTCTGCTCCTTGCATCCTGTCTGTTCGTGGACGGACAGCATCAAGACCTGTCGTTGTATCTCAAGAAAGGTTTGTTCAGCAATTCCATAGCCACTGCCCATCACAAAGACCTTTTGTAATTCCTGTCTACACCGTCATCGTCACCGCCCAGGTATTGAAGCATGACTGTGACTGAGCAACGAAAAGCAAAGGGTCTAGAATTAGCACTGCCTACTGTCGCAACATTCGCTCAGCTGTCATCGTTGACTGCTGCTCAGGGGGCAACCCCGTTCGTATTTGTCCATCCTTGCCGACATGCTAAACCCCGAGGCTCCACGAGCTTGCTCCTGTTTTTGCAAGGTTCCGGGTGGAAGTCGGGAGGGCCGGTGGACTTCCCAAAGAAAACGTTACTATAGGTTGCTAAGATTTCGAGCTGGCCGGGTATTCATGCCGTGTCTACGACTACCAACACTGACAAGCAATAACAATCAATATAACTTACAAAGAGTATAGTTGGTTCCGTGCATGCCCTAGCAGTCATGAGTTCGGCCCTTTTGAAGGCACTCGAGCCTAGGCCCCTAATCAGACTTACAAATAACTGATGATGCAATCCTTTGATTCTAAACCCCTTACCTTCGTCATAAGGGTTGTAAGACTGATCCTGTTAATGTGGCGTTTGCTAGTCCCGGGCCGATGTGCCTTGTTGAGGACTGCTTCCCATGCATCGACCTAGTCCTAGTCTGTTGTTTGGCATTTTTTGGGGATTTCACCTTTGTCTTTAGGTTTTTCCTACACGAAGCAGTGAAAAAGAACCGAGACTGTGAGGTGCCGGCCTCCTTTAGCTTCGCCTTTTGCCCGCAAGCGTCGGAATCCGTAGTAGCAGCAACAGCATTTCTTAAGGACCGTGGCTGTCAAAGACAACCAGGTGGTCTACTCGAGCCATGGCCGTGCTGGGTTTCTTATTGCCTTCTGTGGCAAACAGTTCCATGTTTTGTATACACGGTCATAGTGCATAGAAGTGCATGATACACACATAATTTCAACTGATCTACACACATAAAGCTCTATTCAGACTACATAATTATACATGCATGCATTCATGCATGCACACAAATAAATAAATAAATAAATAATATATATATATGTATATATATATATGTATATATATATATATGTATGTATATATATATGCACGCACATGCGCACGCCCGGCGCCTGCACCTGCTCCCGCGCCCGCGCACAATCCCACGCACACACGCACGCACACACGCACACAGACAGACACACAGAGACGGACAGACACACAGACACACAGGCAACACAGACACACGGACACAAAGACGGACAGACGGACAGACAGACAGACAGACAGACAGACACAGGCACACACACACACACATGCACACAGCGCCTGGGTTCAAGCAGTTTAAGCTTAAATTGCCCGCGTCTTGCCTTGAATTATTGCTGTGTTGGCTTTTATTGGGGGCGGGAAGCTTTTTGAGCCAGGAAAGAGACAGAGTGGGACGTCACAAATGCGGACCCCGACTATCATTACAAAGCGATCGTCGACGCTTTGAAATTGGCAAAGGACCACACTCTTAAGCTTTGGTTCTGGCAACTCCACAGGGCCCTGCGCAAACCTATCCCGGCAGCTGAATTTTGGTTGACATGGACCTGGATAAATTGGCCTCAGTAGCACAAAGCTTTAACCCAGCCATCCGATGCTCTGGGAACTGGCCGCGGGGCCTGGCATGCACAAAGGCTCACCCGACGATGCTGCAAAGCACGAGAGGTAAGCCAATACTCACGGACATGGCATGGAGTGGTGGTCTTGTTTTTCACCTTGAGCCCTATTGAAGCCTAGACCTCCTAGAATCTAGAATCCGAAGCTTCAATTTCCCCCGGCACTGGCACTGGAGAGCAGGAGAAGCTGCCGACCGTCCAAGCCATAGGTGGCAGTGCCACAGGAACGGTTGGCGCCAACAACGAGGCCACCTGGTGTCTCTCGGCACGAGGCTTCCAGCTTCGGGGTTCGCGCTAGATTTGGCCCTAAGCTGGGTATCTTGCTGATCACGGAAGCGCACAAGAACGAAGACAGCCAGAAGCAAAAGGGGAAGTTTCAACCATGGTTTCTGAGGCCGGCAGGAATTTACCTATCCAAGGTCGGCGTAAATTTGGCGACCGATTTGTCTATTCATATCTTGATGGTCGCGGCGCGCATTTGATGGAGCTGAGGCGACATTTTCCCCAACGTGCCACCACCTGTCTACAAGGACCGGATCCGGAGATCCAGCAGAGTAGGGGAATTTTGGCTTTCGGGCTTTTGATTTTGGGGCTTCATTGGTTTCGTCCTCACTTTTTCTGGGTCTGCCCACAGGGACAACTCACCAATCTCAGCCATGAAGCAGTTCCCCTGTCCAGGCTCCAAGGACCGAACTATATCCTGTAGGCCGGTTCAGTTTTGGAAGTTAAGGCAAATGAGGAGGTCCAGTGAGGCACAGCCTTTGTTTCCGAAGGCCATAGAGCCGGACCACCAGACCGGTGTAGCTGTGTTCAGCTGCTCAAGTAGGTGTGTACAGAACGAGGAAGCTCGAAACTTGAGGTTGTAGACAGTCGGGGGCGGAAGTAACATGGGTTGACTTTTGGACCCCTCGATCCCTAACTAAGGTGCCCCTCCTTGTGCCCAAGAGAGACCTCCTGCCAGGCCAAAGTGGTGGATATTTTCCAGCGCATCTCCAAAGAATTAGCTGGGAACGTGCCCCTGAAGGTCATCAACGATGGCGAGGTGTGGGTGCTGGTTAGGATGGTTGCTTAAAGCCAGGGTTTGTCGGGCTTAAAGTGACGTTGACGGGGTTCTTGCCAGGATTAACGATAATATTGCCTTTGACTGCTGCCATGGGAGCTCCGAGAACCAGGGTCCTCATGTTTATGCAAGTGGATCTTCCCAGAGCCTTCGCGACCTATGTTGGTACCTCTCTCGTTGGCCTTTGAGCAGAAGGGCGACAGCGTACACTTTAATTGTTCTTTCAACCTGTGCCCTGTAATCTTGGTGTATGTAGTCTTATATCGTGGTTGAAGAATATGACATGTCTCCACACGTCCTAATGTGAAAGAGCATGCAGATATTGGTATACACGAGAAGCATGTGTACGTAACTGTGCTGTGCTCGCATGCACACACCGTCATTTGTATATGTATGCAAAGTCAGTACATGCAGTTGTCGCTTTAGATACTACCGACGGACAGACACGTTCATGTTAGTTTCGGGCGGAATGGTTGATATGCTTGCGTACCGGACCTAGTGCATACGCGAGAGGGAAAGACAGAGAGAGAAAGAGAGAGTGTGTGAGCATGTGCTTCTTTGCCTGCTTTCTTTACTTTATTTGCATTCGCTCTCGCTCTCGTTCTCTCTTGCGCTCGTTTTGGGATCTTGCTTGTTCATATCCATATCGCTGTCAAGGTTACGGCTTTGGCAGCGGTGCAGAAGCTAGGCGGCAAGGGCAACGCTACTGGGCTGCAATGGGTCTGAGCATGTTTTTTTTGAGATATCCTAGCCATGACGACGATGGTGATCGTGCTAAACCGCATTACTTGTCGTTCTGCACTCATTCCTTCAAGAAAAACTATGTATGCCCAGAGGACATTGGGCGTCTATGCCTGCCTTGAGCGGCAGCACAGAGGTTTAATGAAGGTCGCTTCGAAGTCGCAGAGGTCCTGGCAATTCTCTCATTCGAAGTTCGACCTGCACTTTGTAAATCTGACCTCGGGCGGCCGAACCTTGAAGAAGGGCGGCTCAGCAATGTCCGGGAAAGCGGAAACCTGGACAGTGAAATCGTGATCATAGTGTCATGGCGTTTGCTGCAGATATCAGACGTTTCATGAAGTTTCGGTCTATGGGTCACCCATATGGGTCTGGAGCGTGGAATTCTGTTTGTGTGGTTGACCAAAACTGAAACGAAGGTCAAGGGGCAAACGCACACACACACACAGACAAGCTCCCCCCCTGAAGCCCGCACTCCGAATCCCAAGCCTTGTAAACAGGTCATGGGCATCTCCATGGGCTCCAGTGAGGGCGGCGGCTATGCAAATGCAGTCACTCAGCATGCCTAGCGGTGTGGCATTCCGTCTTGAGTGCAACGATTGGCCCGACCCATGAACCCCTTGAACGAGCCCAAGAGTTCAAGCACAAGTCATAAAGTGCAGTGGCAGCTGCAATGGATCCTTAAGCAGGTCAGCACGCATGCAAAGTTCACTGGTGTCAACCCAAGCCACTGTCGGTAGCAGAGTGTCATGAATCTGAAAGCAAACTAGGCTAGTTTCCTGGGCGTTTTCGGGGTATGTCTTCGTTGGGTGTATTTCCCCATCGTTCTGTCGAACTCGCTCTCTCTGTCTCTCTCTGTCTCTCTCTCTCTCTCTCTCTCTCTCCTCTATCACTCTGTCGCGCTCTCTCGCAAACTCGGCATCCCGAGGATGGCAACTTGATGGGGTGGATCAATGAGCCACCATCCCGCAGCTTCAGTTGAGACCTAACTTCTAGGGGCAAGTTTGCTGAACGCTTGATGCTGTTGGCCCAACTCGTTAACCCCAAAATCGTGAGCGATGGCTTTCGGACAGAGGTTGCTACTTGAAGTTTCGGAGGGATAAACGTACTATTCGAGGAGGAATACCCAGGATCCACGGGTGTCGATGTTGATTGAGGGTGCGAGTGCCTCGGCGGACCCGAACAAAGCGACGTGCAACGCTTGTGCTTGAAGAGTCTGATATTCAGGTTAGCCGTGGGTGTGGCTGCCAGTGGCATGCTTCCTTCCAGAACTCCCGGTATTCGGGCATGGAGTGTTGCTAGGAACAGGCAGGGGGACCCTCAATAAAGTAATCCTTCTGAATCCCAAACCCTAATGAACTAAACCCGAAACTCTGAACTGATAAGAAGAACCCTTCTTGAATCCCAAGAGTGCAGGCTGTGCTACGTGAAGTTGGACTTGAACCCGGAGGTGCCTGGTCTGCTCTAGAGCTACAGTACCTGAGGCTCAGTCATAAGCTGGTAGTGATTCGGGTCTATAAAGGGGCTGGCTCTTTATGGTCCAGAGGACAGAATAGTTGGAAGACGACCCAACCTTCGAAAAACAGCCAAACTTTCAAGCCGTTAGACAGCTCATGGCCTAGCTCCGCTCCAAGGCCCCCACGGACCCTTGGACGAAGGGCGCCCACACCGGGATCTCGCACATGCGCCCCAGAGAGGGGCTTGCGAGAAGAATACAGAGGCTTTTGGAAGCAGCGAGGGCTGTCTGCGGCTGTCTGAAACCCTCTGAAACCCGTATGATACGGGCGTGCAAATGCAGGCAAGCCTTGGATGTTGACACGCCGTCGATTTCTGTGCGCTGCTACTTTTATGGCGAACAGTATATTATGCAGTCGTTTACTTGTTCACTTCGAAAGCAGTATGAAGTTCGATGGACTTGTCATGATCGGCTGCCGCCCTGAGGGTTTAGACCTCCGACTACAGGTACTTGGGACAGCGTGGGGCCACAAAGCTCGCAGCCAAGGCTGAGGGGGTTGCTTTCGAGGAGTGCAGTCAACACATGGAAAATCGCCAGCATCATCTCATCGTCGTCATCCGAAGACAACACGAAGCAGTCTGACGTTGGCAACGACTAGGACCTGGGAGAGGGAAGTTTGCATGCACAGCGCGTTCAAGCGGCTTGGCCATCGCGTGGCCCCTAAATGCCAACAGCGTCCGTGATACCTGCGGTTTTTTTAGGCACTTTACACTGGAGATTCACTCTATCCGCGGCGAGGTTGAGGATATTGTAAAAGTACCCCATCCGACGAATCCACCCACACAAACCAGTCGGGTCACTTTTTCCTGCGCCGCAGATGGAAGGAGTTCAATAGCCAGGCTTACTGAATTAGTATAGTACAGTTCCTAGATGTTCCTAGAAAATGCAACCTGGTTTCCCAAACCGGTTTTAGCGACCCTCTATATGTGTCCACCGCAAAGTTCCATGCGCATCCTTGCAGGCTGGGGTCAAGGTGCCGCCGAATTACGTCTACCCGCATCCTGACATGTGCAACCTGGCCGGGTTTCGCGAAGTTCGACCTTTCAGTCCTTGAGTCCTTGGGTTTGCAATACATTCCGCTGCGACGATGACAGCGACTACAGTGCCAACGACAACACCTATGTAACGAATGCATCAAAAGAGCATAAGCAGGAGGAGGAGCAGGAGGAGAGTTCGAGCTGTGGTAGTACAGTAGTGGTCGTTGTCGGCGGCGGCAGTGGCAGTGGTGGTGCTGCTAGTGGTCGTACTACTAGGTAAAAGAGAGAAGACCATTTGTATTATTCTCCGCCCGTGACCTGAAGCTGGTGTCACTCGGCTGCGGGATGCGTGTCTTCGGGCAAGAGGGTATTTAGTGAAGAGATCTGATTTGTGAAAGCACTGTGAAAGACGCGGCTAGTTGAGTCCTGAGCCCCGGTACGTGGTGTGACCGAGGCACAATCAAGCATGAAGACCATGCACAGCGGCTTGGCGCGATGTCAGGCATGCAGAACCTGACATGTATTCACACCTTTGACGCGTGGCATGGCAGAGACTCCGTGCGAAAGGGTCGGATGCAGCCCAAGGTGCCTGAAGCTTATCCAGAAGGCCATGGAGGATGCGTCCCTTCGGCCACAGGCCCCACCCATTGCATCTTTGAGAGATGTAGGATCACAAGTTTAGGGCGGTTTAGGCTCGGGGAGGAGGGAGTGCACTAGTTGACAGTCTCTGCATGCTTCATTTTGTGGCGCATGGTCCACTGGTTCGGGCCAGGGCTTAGACTACTATGGTTCATGGGCTCTACGCAGCTGCAATTGATTCGATGGTCCGGTCTGGTCCGGTGCTCGAGATCGACATACTGAGAGTTGAACAGGCCCAAGTAAGGATGCCGAAGGTTGGCTAGCTTGGATTTTCCCGGAGAAGTGCCCGCTCAAAAGATTTTCCCAGCTTCTGAAATACAGGCTCGAGAAGCAGCCCAAAGGCTGCAGAGTCCTCTGCATGTAAGATGGCGAACTCCTCCCCGACCCAGCCCCTTTGCAAGACCGTTCCGCGCAACGAGGCTGGAGACTGGCAAGGGCTTGTCTCCAGGAATAACCTATCTCTGCACTCTATGAACCATGAAATCAGCTGCTGTGGAGCACAGAGCCACTGGGAGCTGGGCCTTCACCTGCTTTCTTTTCTGCCGGCTGCTCGCCTCCGAGCAGATGTGGTCAGTTTCAATGCCACGATGAGTGCATGTGAGAAGGGTCGACAGTGGGATCTGGCCATAGGGCTACTACTACAGATGAGCACTGCCGAAGTAGAAGCCGATGTCGTCAGCTATAACACGGGGATCCATGGCTGCGGGAAGCAGGGGCAGTGGCAAACTGCTCTCCAACTCTTTTGTGATGTTTCGAGGGGGAAGCTTGCAGCGAAAACCATAACATACAACTCGGTCATCACTGCTTGTGGGCGAGCTAAACAGTGGCAAGCTGCTTTGCAGCTTCTGACAGAGCTATGTGACTCTGCACATCAGCCCGATGTGATCAGCTTCAATGCTGGGATAAGCGGCTGCGAGAGGAGCGGGCAGTGGCAAGCCGCCGTCCAGCTGTTGTCAGACATGCTGCAGGTCACAGTGATTCCGGATCTGGTAAGCTTTAATGCCACTATCAGCGCTTGCGGCAAAGGAGGACACTGGCCGTGGGCGCTTTGGCTCCTGTTTCAAGTGTTAGGCCAGCAGAGGGGTGAGGCCGATGTTGTTACCTGGAGTTCCAGCACCTTGGTTTCGTGGAAATGGCTGCTCGTTTTTTAAGGTAGTTGTGGTCCATGATGGTTGCAACACTTTAGAAACCGTGGTAATGAAGACAAACTGTTCATCGGTCGTTTTTGGACCTCATAGTCTCATAGTCATACTTGCACTGAGTCTTGCTTCCCGGCTTCATTGACCTCAGGCATCAGTGCCTGTGAGAAGGCCGGGCGATGGCAGCAGGCATTGCATCTCTTCAGCCAGATGTCACGGGCCAAGGCCCGTGGTTTCCCCTCTCTGGCTCATAAACCAGGCTATGATTGCTCCTCTACTAAGTTACTAGTACAGCCTACAATGAATGAGCAAGAACCCGCAACTGCCTCTTGAACATCTTTCGCCGAATGAAAACTTCCCGTCCTCACCCACGGTCTAAAGGCAGGGTGTTTGAATTTTCCAGGTTTTGTTTCAGACTCTTTTTAGGGGCTTGGTGAACAGCGCGGTGAACTTCTGGCCCAATGCAAAAGCCCTAAAGCCCTAAACCCCTAAACCCTTCTATACTGGACGTGGACGGTTCACGGACACCGCGCAGACGGCGGCAGCCGCAGCACTGCAGCAACTCGAGACGCTTATCTGTAGTCCCTGATGCAGCCTAGACGCCCCCTCATTTGGCGATTCCGGTTCATCATAAATAAATAAATAAATATATATATATATATATAGTCATAGAGCTTACACACGCCCATTTCC